TCTGGGGAAAAGCCACAGAATTCCAGCCCCACCCCTCGAGGCTTCCAAGGCCCAGCCCGCACCCTCACGGCAGAAGACCAAGGTCTAGCATTTGGAGCAGGGCCACCACCCTGGTGCAGCTGGGGTCGAGCACCACGAAGAGCAGCTGCGGTAGCTGAACGTGGTGCAAGCCGGGTCCACATGTTTACATCAGACCAGCTGCCCTTGGACTCTCAGGCCTCACTAATGTGGGCTAAAAAGTCCCCGTCTTGCTACGGATGCAGAAATATCTCCGTGCTGGGACTCAGTTCAGGAGGTCTCGGGCCAGCGTAACACCTGCAGTGCCATGCGGGTCAGGAACCCGGACCTCGTACAGGCAGAGCTGGAGACGCCAGAGGCATCCCGCTGGCCGTGCCACGTCCTGAGCTGAGGAATGTGGCAAATGAACAGAGAAAGCAGCTTTGTAATGTCACGGGCCGTGGCTAAGTCCCTGCGTTGCTTAGAGACACGGCTTTGGTCAGATGCCTGCACAAGCCAGGCCTGTGTTCAATGGAGCGTGTGTGTCCCTCGATTCTCGCTGGAAAAGGAACATGTCCAAGTTCTCCCCACGTGACTGGGCCTGCCAGGGATTCAGGCGACCCAGTGAAAACCCCACAATCCCTGCTTTCCCCGGGTGCCGAGTGAGTGCCGTCTGACATCGACACCCACAGGCTGCCTGTCTGCAGGGCAGGTGACATTTAGGGGAACGCCAGCCTGTGACACTTATTGTCTTTCCAATAGGTGAGCCCCGAAAGGCCCTTTTCCCACCAGCGAGAAGCTCTGCGGTCCTCTCACAAGTAGCCAAAGATGGATGGAAGGGCCCTGTGCTGCCAAGCTCTGCTTATCTCAAAGCAGGGACCTCCGGCTGCTAGTCACACACCTCTCCCCTCCTGGCCTCCGTGTCAGCTAGAGCACTGAGGAGCTCCCCTAACTTGTGCTTTTCACCAGCGGAGAATGCCTGAAGCGGAGTTCCTCTCTGGCACGCCCTGTACCAGAGGACGGTGCAGGAAGCTGGCTGGCGGGCAGATTCTCCTCCGTTGGCACCTCCAGCCGGAACGCAGCCACAGCAGAGCTGAGAATATGGCCCCGGAAAAGTCTCCAGGTCTCCTAGCCCGTCCCCATTCTCATCTCTCCACACGTGCTCTGTCCACCTGTGCCCCCAGCCGCTGAGTGAAACCCCGCAAGGCTCTGGATGGCTCCTGGTTCGGCGCTGGGCTACCAATGGGTCACCAGGACTCCGCTACGTGACCACGTTGGTGCCAGGCAGGCCTGAACGGCTGCTTCCCCCTGTCCAGTTGCGCTCTCCGCCCTGAGGCCTGTGTGGCAGAGATTAGCGGTGGGTAAGTCAGCCAAAAGCACCAGCAACCCACTAACCCATGGTCCTGCCGGGCGTGGGTCTGTGGCCCGCGCCCTGTGCCCCTTGCTCAGACGGACGCCTTTCGGGTGGGGGGAGACGCTCCTTATGCCTGTCACTGGGCGCTCGGGGGCTGGTGTGCCGGGCAGCTTGGAACAGATGGAGGAGCAGAACATCTCGCTTTTCAGGGGCTCCGTCACTCGGGGATTGACTCTGTCCATAAGAACCAAGCGGCCCTGGGTCGGCCGCGGCTGCTCTAGTGTCGTGCTCCGTGCCGTTCTTGGGCGTGGAGCACCACGGACAGTGGAGAGCTCTTGCCATTCGCCTCTGTTGAGAGAACCCTGCCATGCCTCGTGCCAGGATCGGCCCGCACCACGGCCGTGCAAGTGACAGGCGCACGGGGCCGCCCCGTTCATCCCCGTGTCCTCGCCGCGGCCTCGGGGTCAGGGAGCCACTTTGCCTGCTCGTCTCCGAGGCTCACTTCCGCCCCCGTGGGAATGCCGCCGCCGCGGGGCGCTGCAGCTCCTTGCAGCAGGAGGTAGAGCAGGATCCCAGAGCCGCCTGTGGCTTCTGGAGGCAGGATGGGCAAGCCCCAGA